ATTCTAGAATATCCAAGAATATTCTAGGTATATTCACTACCATCCCAGTCCTCCTATAGATTTGCTTAAGCAAACCAAAAATTAAGAAAGAAATATTATAGAAGAAGAAAAAGTGGAATAAACTCCATATAAGTAAAAAGGTACTTTAGCTACTAAAACATAAATAAAAAACTTTATACCACTTACCCTTCTTTACATATAAGTCAGCATTTGAGATAAGAAATTATTAGAATAGTCTATATTTTTTAAAAAAATAGAAAAATTTCTCAAGAAAAAATCAATAGAAAAGTGTATTCTATTATGAGAGTAGAAAAATTCCTTAAAACAAAGACTTTCAATCACATTTATATCAAAGAAAAAACACTTAACCTAAAATTTTAGCAACCTTAAGAACAGAAAAAAGACTCCATTAATGAAATAAAAACAAGATTCTTAACTTTATACACACATTCAACGTTTAGATTAATATGAAAAGAATAGAAAATATTTAACTCGCCACTAAAATAAAATAAAAAATCATAAATGATCAATATATTAGAAGAAAAAGTTGGTGAAGGCTGAGAAAAAGAAAATGTTGAGAAAGAAAAAAAGGCAACAAGAAAAAATTATATAGTAAATTGAAGAATTAATGCCTACTATATGAAATCTCTAACTTTTTTCTAAAGATACTTTATAAATTTTTCATTAAAAACCCATTTAAACTCATAAGCATCATCTTCCCAAAAACTCAATCCTCAAAATCCTTTAGAAATAAAATTATATCATCTATAACTTTCCAATTAATATCACAATAACAATCACTAGGAAATATCAAAACACTAAGAACAAGAAATAATGCACTAAGGATTTACCATGAAGAAAGAAGGTAACGTAACTTTCCTCCAATTCTACATACACAACATTGTCACAGCTAAACATATAATTTTTACTATTGTATCACATATTTGATTCAGTTTTTAGTGTTGATCATGTTAGTATTATTTAAATCCTTGAGTCATCCTTGTCCATTGGAACTTCTATTTCAAAGAGTCTGAAAAAAATTATAAAAGTTTATGACATTACAGAATGAGGACAACAAAGTAACATTTGTAGCCTTAAGAGATACATTCCTCTATTAATAACAATATGGCATAAAAAAAAGAGAATGCAATGAAGAAAAATATTTTTCATAGTTACAATCTTATATTTGGTGAAAAGCTACAACAAAAATAAAGATGAAAAGAAGAATAATGGACTAAAAACAAAAACACAATCTTTAAGACTAAGAAAATCATTATAAAAAATTTATCCTTCAGAAACAATTTGCAATGCCCTATAATTCTACCAATGTAAGTGTTTAAGATATGGGAATAGATATAAACTTTTAATTATATAGATTCAAACCCAATTGGATAGTTTATATGATACAGTACTATAATTAGTGTATTACCTAATATGTATTTGTAGGCTTTGTGAGGTTCAAGGGTACAGCTTCAATGCTGTATATTAATATTAGCATAGTGGGATTTTGGTAGCTATCAGATTGATTTCAATCTAAACCACTCACTCCTATATATAAACTAGTTTTTGGGCTAATTGATATGTATATTTTTTGTATTCTCTTTTCATATTCCATGCACTTATATTGGTGGAGATAAGAGGCAATTTTGATTGTCTATAAAAAGTATTAGGATTTGGGATTTAAGTTTAGATCTAACTTTTGCATTGGGGTGAAAGCCTAAAGCGTGTATTCCTCAGGGGGGGTTATGGGGTTTCAAATATATAGTAGGGATAGTGGTTGGAATGCATATCTGACCACCTGAGACATTAGTTTAGCTCCTGTTGGGTTGTGTTGCTCCTTGTTCTGTGTCTAGTTTGGATTTAAGCCCAAACTCCATGCTACTCTAGTTGGTGGGGTACCCTCCTCTTCGCATTAGGCCATTGGTATGCCAAAATTGTGCCAGACTCCGTCTAACACCATTTTGCATGCAGGTGCTGGATACGGGGAGCTGATGCTCGTGGGATTGTACTAGACCCTCATTTCATAGCGTAACGGGTTGGAGTTTGGCTCCAAATTCATGTGCACTACAGATTTGATGGGATCAACTAAGCAATGAGTATGTCAATATTGCTTCTAACTACCTGACTCGCTAGATGGAAGTCGGTGCTCTTGTTAATGTGTCTATAACTATTATTAGATACTTCCTCCTCAATCAATTGATGTTCCAACATTCTTATCTAGAGCAGATTCTTTCAAATAATGGTCCCACATTTATGGCTAAGGCATTTCATGTTTTGATATCTCAATTGGGGATATGCCACACTTTTACAAGTGTTTATCATCCATAATCAGACAATTTAGCTTGCTTGGAACTTCAAAGGGATGATTGCAAAGTACGTGAATTTTTAACATTTAGATTGGGATGGTTATTTGCCATCTCTTCTGTATGCGTATGCTATAAGGGTGCAGAGTTCTATTAGTGCTTCACTATATAAAGTTTTATATGGTCATGATCTAATTCTATTAATGGAGTTACTTTTGCGATTGCTACGGGCTGCCAATGCTAGGTTGTAGGATCAATATTTGATAAGCATTTTGGCATTTGTTTGAATAGAGTCTGCCAAACACCTAAGCCGCATACAAGTGGGACAATAACGGCGTTATAACTCCCATCATTGTCCACATACAGAGTACAAAGTGGATGATTTGGTATTAGTCCATTTTCCCTATCTTATGGGATGTAGGTTATCTAAAGGGCTCCTTGCTCAATAGGAAAATCTATATCAAGTGTTACGGCAAATTGAACCATAGGTTTATAAGGTTTAATATGACATCTAGTACGCTGATCCTCAAAAAATTGTGCATATACAGTGGTTGAAACACTTTGTACAAAGGGATTATGAACAATTGGCACCACCTAAAGATCCACCAATGCCTCCTTTTGCAAATCCTAGCCCATTTATAAAAGAACTTTAATGGTTTTTCATCATTCTGAGAGGAGGGGATGATATGAGGTCTAAGTGTATGGTTACAATGCCATATATTAATATTAGGGTAGTGGGATTTTAGTAGGCGTTAGATTGGTTTTAATTTGGACCACTTGCTTTTATATATAAATTAGTGTTTTTGGGCTAATTAATATGTATATTTCTATATTCCATTTCCATATTCCATGCATTCACAGTCTTAGTTATTTACAATATACCTCTTTATTAAACAAATATATAAAATATGTTATTAAGCAGTAATATTTAAAAATATTTTCCTAACTACAATACAGTTTATAAGCACTAATTCTATGGAAAAGAAATAATAGGTATAAATTTATATTTATAAAACATTTTTAATAATTATTTTTAATATTGGATTGGGTAGTAATATATTAATTATCTTAAGCTTTTATTATTCTATATTCTAATTAAATGCATAATTAATTAAAATATTTCTAATACATAAATTAGTAATAACTAATAATAATTATTCTCTTGTTTTTTTATAAAATATTAATATAGATTTATACTATGTAAAAACATAATTTACATACAACATCTAATTAATATTAGAAATTCCATTTAAACTTTTTCTTAGTTCAGGCAGTTTCCTAAATATATTCATATTTCCAAAAAATGCTTTGTATCTAATATTTTTAATAATATTTATTCTTACTTATATTAAATTTATATTATTAAGTTTACAATAGCAAAACTTTTCAGGAGTTATATAAATTTTACAAATAATCCACATAGACTGTATTAAATGAAATCTTAGTTATTTTGAATTAATTTTACTAATTATCTTTAAAATTTTAATTTATAAATATTTATATTTTATTCTATTAAATCACTTAATTTAGGACTATAGTACTTTTAGCAATAGTTCTACTATAGAAGTCTTCCAAAGTTTTTATATATAGCAATCACTATGAATTGATCAAATGAATAATATACATCATCTCCAGGATAAGAACTTTAGCTGAACTCAAGGATTGGCAGCAAGAGTAAGAGGAATTATATTACACACTATAAATATTACTATCAACTGAGTTTGATTATTCAACTACAAGGATATAACATTGAGTAATTGCACCAATTATTGCTCTAGAATCAGAGGAAGAAGTTACTACTCTACCATGAAAATGAATGAAAAGGAAAGAATAAAAGAGAAGAAATTAAGAAAAGATATAAGAAAAAAGAAATCTAAATAATGCAAAAGCTAAATCTAAATCAAAATCCCAACACTCTTTAGGAACAATCAAAATTGCCCCTCATCTCCATTAATGTGAATGTATAGAATATAGAAATGGAATACAAAAATGTACATATTAATTAACCTAAAAACTCTAGTTTATATACAGGAGCGAATAGTCCAAATTGAAACCAATCTAACGGCTACTAAAATCCCATTAGTATATGGCATTGTAGCTATACACTTGGACCTCACAAGGCTACATTTAAAAATATAATATATACTCCTATTATAAAGTTGATTAATTTTCTTGTATTAATAATTAAAGCTTTGATCATACATAATGTTGGGTTGCATATGTTTCAGTGATATCTAAACAGGCCATTTATATAGAATATACTATAATAATCAATTTCTAAAAGTTAATTTTGAACTAAAATTTTCTAAGATTATATTACTATACAAAACAGATTTTATGGAAATAATAAGCTTAGGTAAAGCTTATTATATTATTCATAAAGCATTAAAAATAATGTGAGAATACTAATACAGGTAAAATATTAAGAAAATTATATACATTAAATATTGCTCTAACCATATATTAACTCTATAATAGTAACTGTATCTGTACTATATCATTGAATTAGCTATTAGAACAATAGTGTAAATTATAAATTCAAAATCAAATTCAATTTAAAATATTTTAAATTGGATGTTTTTAATAAGCCATAAAATCTTTATACTTAATTTTTTATCATAAGATTACACTACTAATAAAGGAGAGCTCTTTCAGTTAGTTATACTTTTGTACTTTTAAATTCAAGAAACGCAGATAAAAGTAAGTGTATATTTATTTCTGTAGATTTAACTAAAAATTTGTTAAACAGAATTTCCAGAAAATCATAGTGAAACTTGTCCAGTTTTCCATCCTCTATCATTTTCTCTCATCGCAGACTTCTTTGGACAGTGTTTCAGGAGACTGTTTTTGCTCCCTGCAATTGAGAGCGGTTCTGTGCGAGGATTTTGCCGTAACCCAAGCCATCTTCCAGGTGCAAGCTCTCAGTGGCTGCTGGATACTTTTGCATCAAGAATCACCTCATGGGTACAACTTGTCATTGGTTAGATTATTGTGCATTGCCACCTACTCAGTGTTTGGCCAGCACCCAGCACACAGTGTCCCAATCTCTGCACCCATGAATTCACCAAGTAGAGAAAGTAAAAAACTTACCATCCTAATGACCATGTGGGTCTGCCACATTGAGGAGTAGGTGAGCCGTGAATGCCTCCTCTGCCGCCAGCAGCCAGTTCTTCAATGTGATGCCCAACATAATCCTCTCAGCACTGGGCATGCCAAAGGGGATGGTTAAGACCCTAGACACAGCATACACATACAGCTGCTATTGTGCAAGATCATCGAGACGTTGGAAGAAACACACTTCTGCCAGGAGAGCTGGTGCAATCCCTTCCTCTACCCACCATCCAATCGCAAGCCAAGCTTTGTATACCCAGCGCAGGCACGTGGTGCTGTGACCCACTGAAGTTCTGGATGTCGAGCTGAGTCGGCCAAAAGCCTAAGCATAGGGGAGCCATAAGACCTGTAGTCTCCAAGCTGCTGGATCTCAGTCCAGGTCCTCAATTAACTGTTGTTGCCACCACATCATCACCCCCATCACACTCTAGCATTCTCTTTGATTCTCCATTTAGGAAACGTCCTTTGACCTTGTCATCATGCACCTGTGGCGTCATACCTCCCCCACCAGCATCACGCTCCACTCGTCCAGTGTTGCATTTCAATGAGACTATAAACCAGATCTCCAGCGCTGTGCCTTCCCACGGGGGCTGTGAATCACCGGGACCACACCCCTAGCTTCCTTCTTGGTCCCTCCAGTGCCTCGTCCCGATGAAGTCCCCATACTGAAGTCTTCACATAGGCCATTTCCTCCACAGTAACTACGGAAAGGAGGCACAACACATCCCGGCTCAAACACATTGAGTCGACACTCTGTCTTTTCTTTCCACCACTCCCACCAGTTGCTCCACCGTCCGAAAGCCTCCTCCAGAACGTGCAGCAATTTCCCCTACCCAGATTGTACTCTCCCTCTCTGAACAAGGCATTGAAAAATAGAGGCTGGTTCAGCCAGTCCTCGGCTCTGCTAGGAATAACCTAGCCCACAGGAAAGGATGTCCACACCTTCTCTCAAGGGAAGGGACTTTGGGTCCTTCAGTGAAGAGCCAATTGTGTCTCCTCCACCCAGGGTTTTGCTTGGGATGTATGGTGAGAAGACTCTGCTGTAACAGGAGCTTCCATTGTTGGCTGCAAAAAGATCCTTCTAATGCATAGCCTTTGCCATATCATTGGGATTTACAGCACCAAGCAGCGTCAATCCAGTGCGCAAGCAAGCTGCTCATTCTTCAATGATCTAAGCTATTACATATGGTCACGTGTGTACCACGAACATCCCCGTGTTTGATCGGCGCAAGCTTCTCGGTGCTCGTCAACGGCCGCCTCCTGTAGGAAACTTCGCGGCTGGGGAGCTGCGGTAAATTGCAAGTTTTATCCGCGCAAACAAACAGGTGTCGCTCACACCTTCACCACCAGCCCCAATCCTCGCCAAAATATTTCGAAACAACAAGCGGTAAGAAACTGTGCCGATAGGCCAGATCTGTAGTAGATTGACTAAGTATTATTACTATTTTATTTGGCACCATGTGAGGACCCGTAACTCGTGACACATGCCTCTCCAGTGGCTCTCACCAATTATTAAAAATCATAAACAGGCAGGCTTGTTCACTAGATGACTCTTTTTCTTTCTCTGCCCGGCACCGGCTGGAGATACAGAGTGCTTTGAAACCCAGGCACACAGAAGATAAGCTGCTAAGTCATCCATTCCATAGAGTTCCAGCGCCTTCCAACATTGGGCACCTCAGAAATGAATACAGTACATTCCACAACACAAGTTCTTCAAGTAACCATTCTTCCAGGAGACAGGAGTGACTCCCTTTGCCGCTCTTCACCTTCATTTCTGTGAGCCAATGGTGGGATGATTCACAAAACACACAACACACAAAGGGAAGTTTCGAAGTAAACTACAAGTATGCTTTTTATTGAGATTGAGAGCTCAATGTCCAACTAAATGTTGAAGTGAGAACTCCCGAAAGAAGGAAGCAAACCAATCTAGCAAGGAACACAGGGCTGAGTGCACTTGCACTGCCTCATGTGGCATACACCATGGTTGCACTTCTGGCACTTGCCGCTGTCATAGTGGCACTTCCTGCAGTAGTCATCACAGCGGCGGTCTCCACCCTTGAGGCACGTGAGCGTGTGCTCCACACAGCCGTGCGCCGCATCCGTCCCGCTCAGGCTACTCGCCACCACCAGCAACACAAACACGAAGCAAAAGAACGAGACCTTGGCCATTGCGATCGAATCAATGGAACTCTAGAACAGAACAGAAAAGACCTTCACCGAAACTTATGTGCTGAACTCAGTGCAGATCTTGCTCGTTTATATAGTGGTGGTTTCAGGATTCGGGATGGACTGCTGAGTAATGACCTTTGTTTAAACATGTAAACGATGCAGGGCATGGCTGGTTCGGGGCGGATCGACACGTTGGTATCGTGGTAGCTGTACGCAGTGGCTGCCTGCTGCGTTCGGCCGCCGACAGTGCGGCTTTTGGAGATAAGTCAAAAAATTATTATGTTGAAAATACATGGTGGCACCTCTTCTGTGGATAGTGCTGCAAATAGTGGAAGTGATATGTCCAGGAATCTCCAATTTTTTCTAAACTGGAAATTTCTAGGTGGATGTTGTGTGTCGGTAGCCTGGAATGGAGGGCGTTCCGAGAGTCGAACTCGGGACCCCATACTCGCAGAAAATGCGTTCGTACAATGTATTTGTACATTTAGTTGTTGCCTGTGTCGGTAGGCTACAGTGTGCTGTACGCGCTGCAAAAGGTGCCGCCATGCAGCGAGAAAGGAACACGAGGCAAAGCCGCCACTCGGGGGATTCGAACCCGGACCACAACCTTTAGAGTGAAATGCAGTTCATAAACCTCACGACTATGTCACAAAGAGGCTGTACGACTCTCGAGATCATAAACAAAGCGGGTAGAGGGAATCGAATGTGCAACTTACCACTACATGCCACCTTATTTGCTAGGCATATATATCCAGAAGCGGCAGATGTGAGTAGTAGGCTCAAAGGATCTCATGAAACTCTATATCCACCTGATCTTTTCTCCTCCTCCTGATGATGCAGATCAACGTGAAAGGTCTACCCATTTGTTTACAGAAGGGGTAGAGTTCCCAACAAGCAGATACTCCCTTTGTCACTGCGGAACAACCAGTAATTCAAGTTTTCAGTCTGGATCCTATTCAGTGGTTATGATCGACAAGGATGCTTCCAAACTCCCAGACTTTGACACCTTATGTCCACTACTGGTCCAACTCAGGAGATCGACTAAATGCTAGAGGCCTGCTCCACATCCTCCAGTATGGTAGAGTGGCTCAAGCAGACTTATCAACTTGGGGATACTTCGCGAAGCTTTTACTGCGTTCCAAAGCTCTTTCCACGGCAAGAGGCAGCAGTGTTCCAAGTATCTCTTCCATCCCTCAAACGCTGCCTGGACCAGATTTTACGATACTTACAGGGCTACCTCGAGCAAGCTTGTCAGTGTCCAATTGAGAGTGCTGCCCAATTTCCAGGACTATCTCGTGGAGCCCAAAGTTTCTCGGATGCGATCCAGCGTGTTCTCCAAAGCTAGACTCCACTGAGCCTTTCTCGAGGGTGTTCTACAGCTGCAATTGTGATTCTTCAAGCGTAAGTCCAGAACAATGCCATGGGGACTTCAGATCCCGCTATCCTAGGAAACTGGCTTGCACAAAAGTCAGGAAAGAAGGAATGATTTTGGAAGTCAAATTCACCATTTTTCTCGACATTATCGACTAGAAATTTCCAGAAAGAAGGTAAATATTACTTTTGGATCTTACAAAAAGGATTTTTCAAGTGTATCATTAGCACCATTTCACATTTAGTGACGATGAAATAAGTAGCATTAGACTTTGAATTCAAGAGCTCGAGCATTATACAGTGTATAGGATATTGCAAAATCTCGTGTTGTTGAACTATTGGTTGAGCTGCTCTAGCATTGCAACCACGTCCTTGATGCTCGGACGCTGGCTGGGGTTGTATGCTGTGCACAGAAGACCCACCTGCACCAGGTTCCGAATCTCTACACCATGATCAGTATCAACAAGAGCCAATGCTGGATCAAGCACTTGGCAGAGATCCTCTCTTCCTTCATCTAGAATCCACTCACGCAGAGTTTGGCCCCTCACTCGGAGACACTCACTGCTTGGAGCCACACCTGTTAGGAGCTCCAAAAGCACCACTCCATAGCTGTAGACATCGCCTTTGGTGGAAACTCGGTACGAAGTTCCATATTCTGTGCAGCAAAACAGGGACAGCAAAAGTTGAGCGACCTGGACCAATCTGAGAGAGACAGACAGTACCTGGTGGAGCATAACCAATGGTTCCTTTGAAAGCACTCACAGAAGTTTCACCATTCTCGCCATGGACCAACTTGGAAAGGCCAAAGTCTGCAACGTGGGGACTTAAGCCTGCATCTAAAAGAACATTTCCTGGCTTCAAGTCGCAGTGAATAACAGGGTCTTTGAGCTGGTTGTGCATGTAATACAGTCCCTGTGCAATACCTTCAGCTATCGTAAGTCTTATTTTCCAATCCAATCGGTGGCTATTTCTCGCTGCAAAGCTGGCCAGCGATCCGTTAGGCATGAATTCCAGGACGAGAGCTTTGACCTCCCACGTCCAGCAGTAACCCAGGACTTTGACGAGGTTCCTGTGCTTCAGCACATCCAGCATGTTGACTTCGGAAACGAAGCTCTTCAAGTCAGCGCAGCTTGAACTCAGCACTTTGACTGCGACTGTCTCGCCGTTGAGTGCGTTGGTTCCCTTGTAGACCTTGCTGAATCCGCCTGCTCCCAGAAGGTTCGCCTCGCTGAAGCAATCAGTCATTGCTGACAGCTCAAAGGCCGTGTAGGCTTTGAGACCTGCAGGAGAAAAAGTCATTCTGCTGCCAGTGACTTCAAGTTGCTTGATCCTCCAGCGATCCAAGAGGAACCAGCAACCCAAAGCTGCCACTAGAATGAAAATTGCAGCAGAAATCACTAATGTAGCACCCACTTTCCCCATAGACCTGTGCTTTGAAGCTGCAGCTGCTGACGACTCCTCCTGGCATGCTTTCTTCACAAGCTCGCCGCACAAACCTGGATTCCCACCCAAAGAGCTCAAGTTGAGCTTGAGAAAAACACCTTCCTGCGGGACAGGTCCTTGAAGATTGTTCATGGAGACGTTGAGGGAGCTCAAACCCGACAGAGTTGCCAGCGACTTCGGTATTCTGCCCGTTAAGTTGTTAGAAGAAAGATCCAAAGTCACAAGCGACTTGAGCGTACCAAGTCCTTCGGGTATCTGACCGACCAACCTGTTAGAAGAAAGATCCAAGCTTTGCAGGCCTTTGCAGTCAGCAATGCTGCTTGGAATTTCTCCTGAGAGGGAGTTTGATGCAAGAGATATTGAGAGCACCTTGTCCATGTTCTTGATCCAGGACGGGATTGGGCCAGCCAAGGAATTGTGAGACAAATCGAAGCTAACCTGCAAATCGTGCAAATTTCCAAGACCTGCGGGTAAGAGACCTGAGAGCATGTTGTTCGAGAGGTTAAACAGCTGAAGTTTGGTAAGCCTGCCCACGCTCGCGGGAATTTTTCCTCGAAACTTATTTTCGTCCAGTCTCAAGCCGGTCAGGCTGTGCATATCACCAAGCTCTTCCGATAGAAATCCTTCCAACTTGTTATAAGACAGCACGAGCACCTCCAAATGCGAACACCTCCTGAGAGCCGCAAACGGAACCTCCCCTGAGAGATAATTCCCGTGCAAGTAAATCCCCTGGATGCTCGCCAGAGAGGCAAAGCTATCAGGAATGCTGCCGCTGAGCCTGTTGTAAGACATAGCCAAGTGATACAGCTCCGTAAGTGTGCCAAGACTCGATGGAATTGGGCCGCTGAATTCATTCTCGTACAGCTGGAGTTGTTGTAGTCGGACCAAGCTGCCGATTTCTTCAGGAACTTTACCCGAGAAGTGATTATCCCCCAAATCCAGGACCTTGAGCTGCGTACAGTTCGTGAGAGCCGAAGGAAACGGACCCGATAACCGGTTGCTCATTATCCGAAACACTTGAAGTTCCCCGAGAAAAGCAAGCGAAGGTGGTAAGCCTCCAGAGAAGTTATTCATCTGCAGCTCTACATCCACTAGCAGGCTGCAGTTCCCAAGCGAAGCCGGCAATTCCCCAGTGAGATTGTTGTCATACAAGAACAAGGTGGTGAGCTTCGTCAATCTCCCCAGTGACTGAGGCAAGCTGCCGGTTAGCCTGTTCGAGTACAGCAGAAGTTCGGTGAGTTCCTCCAGGTGGCCGAGCTCATCGGGAATGGAACCAGTGAGATTGGTCTCGAAAATGGATAAGAAGGCCAACTTCTTCAAGGAGCCGAGCTCGGTCGGTATGCTGCCGGTTAGCCGGTTTTGAGAGAGCTCCACATCTTCAAGCTGGGAGCAATTTGACAAAACCGGTGGTATGGATCCTTCCAGCTCGTTGGCGTAGAGGTAGAGAAGTCTCAACCTTCGAAGCTGGCCAAATGAAGGTGGTATGCTTCCGCTCAACTTGTTGGAGTATAGTATGAGTTCTTCCAGTCGTGTGAGGCCGCCAATCTGTTCTGGAATCCTTCCCGTTAGCCTGTTTTCGAAGAGGTACAAGCTCTGAAGCATTTCCAGACGGCCCAGCGCTTCAGGGATACGTCCTGTCAATCCATTCTTGGCGAGCTCTAAATCTGTGAGCAATGAGCAGTTCCCGAGCGAAGGTGGTATTGAGCCGTGCAGCAGATTCTCGTGGAGATGGAGGCCGCGAAGGCGATGAAGGTTGCCGAGCGAATGAGGGATGGCTCCTGTGAGTAGGTTGGAAGCTAGAAACAGCCCCTGGAGCGATGTGCAGTTGCCGAGCTCGGAAGGAATGCTTCCCGATAAATTGTTGGTCTGCAAATCCAACACAGCCAAGTGCCTCAGCGCGGCGATCTGCGGCGATATGACGCCCTCCAGACCCAAGCGGGAAAGATTGAGAGCGCGAACTCGGCCGTGTCTGCATGCGATTCCAGGCCAGCCGCAAACTGGGCTCCTCCGCAAAGCCCACTTGTCCAGAAGACCGGATGGATCCGCTTTGATGCATTTTCTAAACTCCAACAGTACCTGGGCCTCCTCATCGTTGCTGCTGTTTCTGTTCTCGATGGCATCTTGTTGTTGTGCAGCCGAAGAGAGGATCAAGCCTGCAAGCAGCAACAGAACCAGAAACACAGAACGAGCCATCAAGATCAAAACCTGAGGCCAACTAAACATTTTGGTTACCAGCCTCGCCGCTCCTTACTCCCCGCAGTCGCCTTCCAAGAAGAACAGCCGGAGAAAAGTAGAAGCATATGATGAAACCGAGTATTGACCATAGACCCAGGAAGGTTAGGAAAACCAAAAAAAGAACTCAATACCTTCCTGTGGCCTAACGGACAAGGCATCTGACTCCCACCAGGTGTGATCTAGAAGTGACATACCTCCAACAGCAGTGTAAGTTACTCTTTTGTGCCGACTTCTGACCTGCGTGTTTTCCACAAACGTATTGAATGAGAGTTGGAGTGCGCAAATGCATGTTTTCCATGACTGCAACACCACAGATAAATCAGCAAAATTGATCCTTGTAAAGAGACAAATGGCAGCGACAAAAAAACAGCAATTCGAAATTGCAAAATACCATGAAATATTCGCGCGGTGGCGGCCAACTCAGCCGGAGAGGTTGTGCCAGCAGAGCTTTTGGCAAAGTGGAAAACTGCTCGACGCAAAATGCCGAGTTCGTGATGCAAGTCACTAGCAGCCAACAAAGCAACTTAGAATGTAGTGTTCAAGAAAAATAGACAATGACGAACCATAAGTAGCTTACCAAGTGGTCTTCATGGAAACTCTTTACATGTCGACGCTGAGGAGAGCCTCAGGAGCACTTGTCTTCGTCTTTATATTATTCTACTCTGCCGCAGTTTGGTTCCAGGAAGGGAGGAATAAAGCTTTGATCACCTGGAACAAGCGGAGCAGCTTCAATCTGATCAGTGGAAGAAAAGAAGGTGATTCCATCAGAACTTCTCATAGTCCACCACCTGCACAAAATGAGCATCATAAATGTAAGAGTCGGATTGAGCAGCATCGTTACAGGAAAAAGCCCTGGGAAGACGTACCATCTGAGTACCTCATCGCCAGGCTTCGTTCTTACGACGAGTTCCATGCTCGCTGCACCAGAGGTTATCTCCAGACTTGGTTCAACTCCACAGCCGCGAAGAACAGCGATTGCAAGTTCATCCTTTGGCTGAACTATAGTGGCCTCGGGAACAAGATGGTGTCGATTGCTGCGGCTTTCCTCTACGCCTTGCTCACCCGTCGAGTTTTGTTAATTGACCCAGGGAAAGACATGGACGAGCTCTTCTGCGAGCCATTTCCTCGGAGTTCATGGTTTGCTCCCCGGGACTTTCCATTCCAGTTTGTCGAGAGTGACAAGTTTAAGCTCAAGTTTGATAAATGCGAAGCCGGTGCTACGTTTGCAAGGTACGGTTACATCGAGATAATGGACGGAGTCGCTGATATCGGCGACAAATTCTTCTGCGAGAAACAACAGCAAATCATCAGCGACCAGATTGCATGGTTGTCGATCAGAGCAAACCTGTATTTTGTCCCAAGCTTGTACTACGTTCCAAAATTCAGAACCGAGCTAGACAAGCTCTTTCCACGGCAAGAGGCGGTGTTCCACCACTTAGCGAAGCATCTCTTCCATCCCTCTGACGAAGTCTGGGGTAGAGTGACGAGATTTTACGATGCTTATATGGCTGGCTCGAGCAAGCTTGTCGGCGTCCAACTAAGAATGCTGCCTGATCTCGAATATAGCTTGGGTGGATTCCATGCAAGAGAGAGGTTCTCAGCCGCAATGATCCAGTGTCTCCACCAAAGCAATGTGCTTCCCAAAGTAGTACCGCCACACTCGACGTCGCCAAGAGATTGTAGAGCTTGTGGATCCTCCAGAGATATAATAGGTGTTGTTGTGACATCGCTGGACGAAGATTACTCCGATGATCTTAAAGAAGTTTATCTCAACTCTCCAACAATCGATGGTTCTTTGATCCGAGTTTTTGCACCGAGTAACGAGCGATGGCAGCAGACTAACGACCTCAAGCACGACGAGAAGGCCCTGGCCGAGATTTTCCTGCTCTCGTTGTGTGACGAGCTGGTTACGAGCCCCGGTTCCACGTTTGGATACGTTGCTCAAAGCCTGGGTGGACTCAAGCCGTGGCTCTTAAATGAAAGGAACTGCTCCAGGTTGGATTCCATAGAGCCTTGCTTCCACGCGAGAGTTTTTTACGGCTGTGATTGTGAATCGCTCAACCCTGCGAAGGCCGTCCAAAACAATATCCAAAGCTGCCCGGACTTAACGTGGGGAATTCAGCTCGTCCCATCTCGTTTTTGATCTCAACAAAATGGCACGGGAAAACGACATGCCAAGAGCCTGTAAAAATTGCACCATAATGAAAATACACAATAGGAAAACAAGTAAAGAACCTCAAAGTCGATCATAGCATTCAGCTGAGCTCAAGATGTCTCAGATGGATAAATGCCCCACGAATAAGTGAAGAAGTGTGTTTTTGGAGAAATAAATGTTCCAGAGGTGTACAAGTTTAGTCCCAAAAACATTTTTTTCTGCCAGACATCGGTACCTGTTGGCGATCGACTCCACGCATGTTTCTGTATCCGCCAAAAACAAAGTCCAGAATTTTTTGCAGGCTCCCGAAACAAGTCTACAACGTACCAGTGGCAGCACGAAGTTCCCAGATTGTTTTTTGGAGCCACGGCCGTGCTCTTCCAAGGATCTGCAGTGAGCCTGTGCATCTTGAATCTGAAATTGTACTCCCGGCCTACAATTTACGTAACAAAAATCATCCATTAAAAACTTTACAACTGAGAGAGGAGAATTTCAGAAGCACGCTCTCAAAAGTCCGTTCTAACGCGTGCCTAGGCAAGAATGCGAGTGATTCTAGCTTGACAGTATGCTAGTTATGAGAGGCAGGACTAGAAAGCTTCCAAGATCAAGCTCAGGACGACGTAATCCAGAAAACTTCCAAGATCAAGCGCGACGTAATCCAACCAGGGACAAGGAAGAGTACCTGAGAGCGCGATGCCGCCATGGCCTTGCCCCATTTGCAACCCTAGCAAGATCTAGGCGCCAAAAAATCATTTTCAAGATACGCAGCAGAAATTTTAGTACAAGGGAGTCACAAGTTCGAATCCGTGCCCCAATTTGCCTTGGAAATTAAAAGGAGTGTTTTATTTGAGGGTCCCTCTTCTTCGAACCTGGGATCGGCTCTACAAGACTATCCCTCAGGTCCCTGGGCTGGCCAGTCTATCCAGGGTTGATCACTTGAAAAATACCACATCTCTCTTCCAGATAAGGAACGGAATAAATGTAGTTTGGTAAGAATGGAGATGCAGGGTGTCGATCCCGGTGCCTCTTGCATGCTAAGCGAGCGCTCTACCATCTGAGCTACATCCCCTTTTCCAAGGGTAAGAAAAGCACAAGAAGAAACTAGCAACTCAGTGACAATTCTTTTGACAAAAAATCCATAGCTTCGATTGTAGTGTTTAATGGACTTTGCTAGATGAAGCAAGTTACCAGGTAGAAACTTCGTCCAATGTCAACACCTTTAGAGGCGGCAACCATCGTCCTTGGCAGTAGTTTGGTTCCAGCAAGAGAAGATTAAGTTTTTCATCTCCAGGGACGAAAGAAACAACTACAGTGCTACGAGCGATGCAGGTTCTTCTCGAGAAAACGTTTATAATCTGCCGCCTGCACGAGAAGACCATGGTAAGTGCAAGAGCCGGTTTGAGCAGCATCGCTACGGTAAGAGAGACTGGGAATGCGTACCATCGGAGTATCTCATTGACAGGTTTCGTTCTTACAAGGAGTTCCATGCTCGCTGCACGAGAGATAATCCCCAGACTTGGTTTAACTCGAGCACGGCCACGGAGAACAGTGATTGCAAGTTCATCCTCTGGCTGGATAACAGCGGCCTCGGGAACAAGATGGTGTCGATCGCTGCACCTTTTCTCTACGCCTTGCTCACCCGTCGAGTTTTGTTGGCGAAGACATGGAGGCGCTCTTCTGCGAGCCGTTTCCTCGGAGTTCCTGGTTTGCTCCCGGTATGTTCCTCTCGAGTTCCTCAGGAGTGACGAGAATCCTTCCGCGATCGCTGGCGCCGCGGCAGCAGCGTCCGACATCGATCCGCACAGGGAAGACGAGATCAAAGAACTTGAAGAAGGTTTCGATGCATTGGACAAATCCGTGGAGCTTCTTTGGGAGCTTGTGGTGGATTCAGAGGGCGGTGAGCTGCGAGAGATCGTTCTCTCGCACCATCTTCCAGATTTGTGGGCAGGGATTTTCCAGATAAGTCACGACGGTGACGACGAAGCTGCGACTTCTGGACAGATCCATACTCTCGTCGAGGCTTTACCAGTGGCTCATGCAGTCGAGGCTCTGATGATCTTGCTGGCCAAAGAGAACTCTCCACCGCCATGGCTGGAGGCTCACGCAGGATCGGCTTTGATAAGTGTCACCCCGGTTTGTGCGGCACGCATGAGCTCCACAAAGAGTATGCTCAAATTGAAACGTCCTAAGAGCGGAAATGTCTAACTTACCGATGGCACCATTTCAAGTAACCTTGAGCTTGGTGATTCATGATAGTGATGGCTGGTTTCTTCTTAGAAAGGATCCATCCTTCCTGGAAATTCAAGATCTAGAACTTGAAATTTGAATAAGCAGGAAACAAAACAATCAAATGCCTCCATTCTAAATGATGAAAGTTGGGAGACCAACGTGGTGTAGGTTTCCTTGAATGTCAGTGCTCCTTGGAACGTATTTGGATACTTGGATGGATGATCTCAGATTTTAAGGCACAAGCTAGATTATTATTTATTTATATAATTATTATTTTTACTATTAACAATAGATAAATAAATATTTTTTTAGGTTCTAAAATTTTTCAAATGCTCATCTCCCATTGGCCACTTGTGAGCCTCCACTTTTTTTATATTATAGTTTTTGTGGTGTTATAAGATAATATCTTTGGAGCCATGTAATTGAAGGAAGCATCAAAATGACCCGTAAGACAAAATTCCCAAGATTAAACCTTCTAATCAAAATTTTCTCAGGTAAAAATCCTTTTATAAATAAAACCATAAGGTTAATCAAGTTTATAACTATGAGAAAATTTGTTGATAGTATGCACTTTTCTTCTAGTGGTCCACAACTTCATCAAAGTTAAACTTCTGAATTTCGGGACCTTCAATTAAAATCCTTACGAGAGCATCAACTATTTTAGTATTCATCCAATTTCTGTATTTGTTCCTAATCAAATTTATTCTACTAAAACCTCACTCGCAACTTGCAATGCTAACACACTGCACCATCCCAATTTCACCAACTTGAAGCAAGTTTGAAAAGCTCTCTACCCAACTTACTTAACTATGTATGATGCTCCATATATTAATAAAATTCTGTCCTTTCAATTCTTTTGAATCTAAGTTGAATACCCTTCCATGAAGGCTAAAGGATATCCACAATGCCTTTAACAAAAACTTCATCCACCTATAAATGCCTTCCATAAAATTTTGCAAGCTCCCTTGCCTTTGTAACCTTAAATTGTTTGTTTTCCTTGATAAGGATTGGCAAATTAGCCAAAGTTAGAACTTGCATCTTGGAGAGTATCTTTATGTCTTGCAGTCATTGTCTAATAGCTGAAATGAGAGCAGAAGTAAAGGAAATTTGGAATTGCACAACTTCTTGAAGATCATTTCCATTTTTTGACCAAATCAACTACATAATTCTATAAGTATTTTTTTTAACTAAAGCTTTCAAAACATGGAGGAAGCCATCCTTACTACCACCAATATGGATGCATGGATATAATTTGCTATCCATGGGATTATCGTTCAAATCAATCTCATCACTGATGTAGTATTAGTTCAGCTTCAAAATAATCTCTACAAGAGTCCAACCATGGTGATGTCAATTAGCTTTTTTTGGAATTTTTGATTGAGACTACTTATCATCTGCAAAATATCAGCCAGAAAATGCAAGATGTACATGTTCTTCAGGGTTCTCAGTTTGTTGTAAAGCTGCAGCTTGCCACTTCATTTGAAAAGCTCAACTATTGGCTCTAGACATTTGCAAAGCTTAGAGAAAGCCTTTCCACAACTTAACCACCTCATATCTTGTATATGCTACAATTTAAGCTTGGTATGATCATGTTCCATCTCAATGTCCATCAGCTGAGCCAACTTTTTTGAGCTTTTGCTGAAGTAAGCTACTACCTTGTTCACTAGTTTATCAATCTTCATGCATTGTGTAGCACATTCTTCATCCCTGTAAGTATCTTCCACACATAAATTAACTCAATGTGCCATATTGTGAGCATTGCTTAAGAAGGGATGATCTCCTTCAGCCTAGTTGCTACCCCTGTCTTGCTACTAACCATGACATTATATCCATCTAAACCAAAACTTATGAACTATTGCATATCTAAATTCCACTGCTTAAGCATATTGCTAATGCAGTTAAAAATACTTACTGCACCACTATCACCAATGTTGACAATCCCCAAGTAGCTCATCTTCACACAACCACATCCAATGTAAGTCGTATAAAAGATCAAATGCTTCACAATGTTGAACATAAATTGAATCATAAGTAAACTAATAAATCCAAATTAAGGAATACCTTATATCAGTCAATTCATCCACCATCAATCCAAAATAAGGACTTTCCTTAAATTTTTGTAAGATATTTTTAACCATAACCTAAAGTGAAACATGAACCATGTTAGAATCAAATTAACATGGTCTCTTAAACATACCTCGTTAATAGAAGTTATCAATCATGAACAATTTTTGTCACTATTGTAATATTTTGGAATGTTCATCTCGTTAAGTCGATGAAGTTTAATCAACTCTAGAAAACAAGTGAATAGAGCAAATTCTTTCG